TTGATGGTGGTTGCGTGGGAGAGAATGAGGACTTCGGCAACAAACTCGCGGTAAACTTTGGGGTTGGGCAAAATGCCGGTTGTGGGGTCGGGTTTGTCGGGTTTATGGAGGACGACCATGCCTTTGCGGACGTCTTTTCGGCGGACGTTGCGGAGGGCGAGACTGGCTGATTGGCCGGCAGAACATCCGGGGACTTGTATCCGTTTGCGCTCAATGGAACGCACTTTTGTGGTTTGGAACTGGCCTAGACTGTCTGGGCCAATTAGGACGGTGTCACCCGTATGTATGACACCAGACTTGACAACTCCTGACACAACGGTACCGACAAAGGGGACGGAGAATGTGTCATTGACATGGAACTCGAGAGGTGCAGAGCTGTCGTAGTTGCCATGGTGCGGGAGCGCGTTAAGGAACATGCGAACCAGGTCAATGTTGTGGCCAGTGACGTTGGACACCTGGAAAATGGGACATATGCGGCTGGACACAAACTGGGTCGCCGTGTTTATGCACTCCTCCCTGTTCTTGACAAAGATTGGTATCTTGTGCGCACCAGGAGATTTGAGGATTTTCGTCAGCTGCGTGATGGTCTGCTCGAGAATCTGTGGCGGGCAGATATCAATTTTAGTGATGACAACCATGACTGGCACTTTCATAGCGAGTGCGATGCCGAGATGCTCCCTGTACCGGTTAGTGAATGGATATAGAAGGGCGCAAAGTAAACTTACTTGCTCATACCAACAAGTCCATTGTTCGCTGCTATCATCAGCAAACAGTAGTTGGGCTCGCTAGACAACAGGCCAAACACCGTGGTGCGCAGGTACCGCTCGTGTCCTGCAAGGTCAGAAAAGCTAATGACTTTGGCCTGTGAATGTCAGAGCTGATTTGTACATGGCAACTGATAGAACTCACCGATCGCCGACCAATTTCCTCCCATGTTAGCTTTCGACCGGGGACATTTGAGACGACTACCTCACTCTTACTATCGAAGCCCATAATCTCCATGCCCACAGAGCTCGTACGGCCACTTTCAATTTCATGTTTATGTCGAAAGAGATTGACGCGCGCCTTTCCACGGCCATCATCGAGATCGCCTTTAACTAAGACACCTAACATAGTGCTTTTGCCAGCATCAACTGGGCGCTGTCAGCATTTGCGCAATTGTATCTGATTCGACCAACTCACCATTTCCTACAACAGCTATCCTTGTCTCAATGACATCGTCGACACTCTCTGGTCGCTTGCGCAGTATCATCTTGCCACTGCAGCCTGTGTCTTTGGCATCGCGTGGGCCGACTTCAATGTCACCACCAACATTCCTTGTCATGAGCATTTTGTAGTCTGCCTTTATCTGCTCACAAACGTTGCCTATTCTCTGCACTGCAGCGTCCCAGACTTCTTTTGTAAAGCCCATGGAGTCGCCCGCATCCTCCAATCCCACGTCAAACAGAACCTCGCCATGACCTTCAGCAAGGCGATCCTTGATGTGCTCGGCGAGGGCGGCGACATTTTCCTCTGCAGGGTCGGAGAGAAGCGTCTTTAGCCGAATGTGTGGTTTGGTGTCGTCAGAAAGACCCAATTCGTCCAGGACACTCAGCTCGTCGTGGTCGTCGAGAGTGGCGGGGGAAAGGCCCGGGGGTCGTCGCAGCGCCTGTTGCTTCTCTACATAGTCTGCGAATTCGCTGAGGGCCTGTGACGACAAGTCAGATTCCGCGCATAAGTCGCAGGATGGCTACGCACCGATTCGCCCTTGCGCCGCTCTGCTGGGCTTTGTTTGGGCTCGTGCCGTGAAGCCATTGGGTGTGTGGGGATGGTGATGGTAGCGGATGGTGGAGTGATAGTAGTCGATGTCAGGTTGTGTTGTGTAGTATGCAGAAGGTTCGCCGTAACAACAAGACGGTTGGTAATCGCGATATGCGGGTCGAGAGTCGAAGTTCCATGAGTCGTTGTGCCGTGAGGATTGAAGGGTGGCGTGTGCTGGATGACGCTGGAAAGTGCATGATGCTAGGAATCCGGGGGCGGACGGGCACTTAAGCTGCTATCGATAGAGGCCATGACGCTGACACCCGCCCATTGACTCACCCTCCGCCCTCAACGCCACCCGTAAGGCTACCATGGCCGTGATCTTCATCGCAGTCATACACACTAGAGTTGCGCCCTCGATGAACTGCGGGTCCTGGTCGTGATCCAGACTCTGGCCACCGCCAAGAAGGGCGCAAACACGAAGACGACACGACACGACCTTCACCGCTAGCAGCGGAGGCACATAACTATCACGGCATCACAGACGGCATAGGAGAGAAAGAGTCATGTGACGTGCTGGTGCATCTAATCTTACATACTGCCTACATACAACCCCATTGACTCCTCACGAGGCCGCCGCCGTGGCCGTGACCCCCCGCTCGCCGCAATACTTGGCTACCTCTTTCTGCAATGTCTCGCGCTGGTTGTTGGCAACCTCCATAATATCACTGACACCATTGACTGCCTTGCAATACTCAAAGGTATCTGCCATCTGCATGAGAACCGCCGTGAGCTGGTTTGGCAGCCACTATCGCCAGTCAGCAAACATCCAAGGATAAACGGGGACAACAACTTACCGTTACAATCGGACTACCACCCGTGGCAGTGGGGTGCGATGTGTGCTTGAGAATATACTCGCGCGTAAAGCACCAGTGCCGCCAGCGGAAGTCGCGGACCTGGTCAAGAGCTTGAAGATAGAGTGCAGCTGAGATGGAGTCGCCCTTTGCAAACTCCCGTACTCCAGCTTCTTCGGCCGAGTCGCGTACTGCCTCAAGAAACTCGCGATGGTTGCCAGGGCGGTACTGGCGAAAGTCACGGAGAATATCCGTTAGAGGAGTCTCGGGCATTTGCACTTGCAGCAGATTGTCACACATGGGGATCATGCTGTCGTTGGCTCCAGACTCGCCGCGGAAGGACATTGGCTCTTCGCTCACACCTTCATAGATGACTCCGTTGGGGAACATGGACTGCGATGTAATGCCAAAGATGAATGTGCGGAAGTTTGTGTAGCCTTGAGGTTTGCTGCGGTTCCACATTGCTGCCATTGTCAGAAACCCATGGTCCAGTTAGAGCATGCCACTTACTGTTCATGACCCCGTTGACTTTGCTCAACCCACTGACCAGAGTCCGCAGGCCGTCGTTGAAGGCCTCTCGGTCACGCGCCATGCAGCTCTCAAGCATGTCCGCGGCCCCCTTAACAAGCGCTCCAGACTCTTTGACCATGGCAATATGGACGAGGACGAAGCCAGCCTCTGACGAGGTAGGGTCTAAGCCGTGCTCAAACGCACGAATCAGCCGTAGGTTATCATATTCGAGGCCTCGAGAAGGATCTTCGAGGCGATAGTTGAAGAGAGCATATGAGCCGGCGTATTCCATGAAGGGCTTGAAGCCAGCACTGTATGCACTTGTCAGCTGCAAGTATAAGACAAGTTAAACAAGCAATATATACTCACATCTCGGCTACCTTGACAATCGGTAGTGCAATGCATCTTGGCAGTGACTGGCGACCCAGGCCATATGATTCACCCTTGACGTGCCTCTCATGGCAAGGCTCGAACAGGTAGGCAGAGGCCAAGAAGGAGTAGTCTCGATACAATGCGTTCATGACAACAAGGTCGTCACGATACTTCTCTACTTCAGGAGAGAGATCAGGTAGCTCCTTGAGCAGGGTCTCGCCAAAGGTGAAGTTGGCAAGGAGACCTGGCTCTCCCGACAATGTCTTGATGGGCATGCGTTGCAAGAGCGACTCAAGAGGTGCAAACTCTTTTGGGAGCTCGACAACAGGCTCTTGACGAGGGAGGAAGCCTCGTGTTGTTGACACCATGAAGGCAGGGAGAGAGTGGTCCTCTGGACGGGTGTCCTTGAGGACAGGAAAGTCAAAAGTGGGAGACATGATGACCAAGGCAAAAGATAGTGAAGGCAAAAGGATGTTTGAGATGGACAGGCGTCAGCCACAAAATATTTGGACCGAGAACCGATGGTTGTTGTTGGTGCTGAAGAGAAACATGTCAAAAGGCGGGCTCAACGCACGCTTATATCTCGTGGCCGGAATCAAAACCGGCCACGGAAACGTACCGGCCTCACCAAGATAAGAAGTACGTAATGGCTGGATCACTTGTCTGCATTTGCAGAGTTTGACCCGGACACTGACTCTGCTGCCCGCCTCAGTTTCCTCATGTTCCCCAGAGCACCCGACACCAATTTTTCATAGCCAGCTCGTCGTCGCCAAGACATGGGGATGTTGGAAGGGAGAGTTGGGGCGGCAACGAAGTTTTACGTACATCTCCTGCACATGGGAGGAATAGAATGGCTCATATATGTTCTATTTGAAGGAAGAAATCAATATCAAGTAGAGGGGCGCGAATGATGGCGCAGTATTGATCGCATTCACTGTCCTCACCATGCAGCCCCAAGAGTAACTGATGAATCGAAGAGCATCATACATCCAACTCAGTAACTATTCCCATACACGTTGAAATATCCTCTTCTACATACCATACACACCTTTTTATGATTTTATCACCACCCTCTCATCCCCATCACCAACAATACACCCTCCCTGCCCTCTCTCCATCTCCCACCCTTCGGCCCGACTCTTACCAACCAAATCCACAGCGCACCCACCTCTGTGATCTCCAAAAAAACATTCACAGACCCCATACCTCCCTTCGCATCAACGCTCTTCGCAAATCACATTCCTATCAACTTTACAACTCGAAAACTACCTCTTTAGTTGAAAGTTCCTCAACCCTGCCATACAGTACCAGCATAAGTAGAAGGACGGCACGTGAGCGGCTCCTGTCGGCAGCGCAGCCAACCAGCGTCACGCCGAGGAGACCCCGCAAATGCGCGCTCTACTTCCGGCCTCTGGGGGGATGTAATTCCGGCCTTGTTATCTAGATTCACACACCGCCTGATTGGTCGATTTAGATCACTGAAGGTCCCGACTGATTAGTTTTAACCATTTATTACTATTTCTTCTACCTTGTTTTCTTCTCTTTACTCATTATACTCGGGCCGCCCTTCTCCGTCCTACTATGAAGCGCACCCTTCCCTCTTGACGCCGGCCCCTCCAACACCAAAATCACCAACGACGCCACCGAAAAGAACTGTGCGAAAAATCCACAAAGCGAACTGTATGCCTTGTTGACGAGCGGATACACAATGATGGCTGTGACGCCGAGTGAAATGGCCAGACCCGAGAATACCCAGGCCATTTTGTACGCGCTGGTTTTGCGCGGCCATCTGAATAGCTGAACGGCTGATAGTGTTGCGCCGAGAATCGTCATGATGGTGTCGCGGATGACTATGTTGAAGTCGGCATCGGATGTAGAGCCGGTTTCTCCGTCTTGCACCGCCTTGGCGAAGCCGATCATAGCTGGGACCATGGCGATTGCTAGGACGATGAAGAGGATGGAGAAGGTTAGGACTTGGTCCTGATATGTGTTAGTGGATGACACCTCATTCTTTTGTAGTACGTAGGAAGCTTACCCCGGTCTCGGGAACTGGTGTTGTGATTTCTATCTCATTCGGCTTCTTGCAAGATTCCATGGAGAAGATGGCTTCCATACGACGTAGTGGATCGACTGCTTGGGTATACTGTTCGAGTACACGTAGACGGAGAGCAACGCCTTCCAGAATCCTTGTGGGCTTGTCCTCGCTAATCTCGACATTGGTGTAGAGATTTTCGAGATGCTGTAGATGGCTCTTGATGAATTGATAACATCCTGCTACTGCATTCTCCATTATGGTCTGGCTCATTCCAGAGGCTTGCTTTGCTGTTGACGCCGCCTCAAAGAGGTCTACGATCAGACTCCAGTAGGGCAGTTCCAAAGCATCCTGAAGGTAGTTGAGTCGCTTCTCACCAACCCTATGAATTATGAAGTCTCGGGATTCTCCTTTCAATATAGATTCAAGGTGGTGGCCCAAATCGCCCAAGTACGTCGGCCTTGACGACGGCTCCTCTGGCAAAGAAGCATCTCTGGTAGATGGTTGACTTGGGTCTGACTCGACTATCATAGCTTTCGCACTGCTGAGTAACTGCGCAACAAAATCCTTCGGTAAGTTTGGAATAAAGGCTTTGAATAACTCAACCATACAACTGTCGAGACTTTGGCACTTGTCTGCTATCGCAAACAGAGCGACACGAGCTGTTGGATGCTCCACAATGTCATACCCATTGTACAGGAGGGGGACCTTCAATGCTGACTATAGGTTCGTCAGCAAGGCTTGGGACACCAATGCACAGTACATACGATGTTTTTGTTGCTATGATAGTCCCTGCTTAAAAAGTACGTTGAGATGTCAAAATGCCGATAATGGGGTAACGGTGCAATGCCGATGACGTGTTTAGCCAAACGTTTAGGAGTTTTCAAATCTGAGTCGTCCAAAGCCGATGCCTTTGCGTTTATTGTCCTGAGAATGTTTGAGACCATTTCCGAGCTTAACCCTCCATTTCCTCCTTTCCAATGAACCTTCGTTCCGTCGGCCAGAGTCACGGACAGATTTTTTCGAATAATTCGTTGAAATGCGCTTGCATCATTTGGGGCAAGGCTGGAATGTACGTGGACGTCTTCGTGAGTTTGTTGGACTCCTGGTAGCTGAGGCTCTAACCCTAAACGTTGCGCGAAACTTCCAAGGGGTCCATCTACAGCCTCGAAATTCAGGTCATCTTGATAAGGCTTTCGTATTCGTGCTTTCAGCAGAGGGTCTACTGATCGCGATGATTGAGTAGTGCCGGCAGACACTGAAGTTGCCCTTTCGAGGATACGGCTAGGGTCTTTGGGTCCAACTGAAGTGGGTTTGCCCATCATGGAAAGTCGATGGACTCTAGCAAGATTGGTCAAACTAGGTTGGAGTTCACCCAATTGATATTCATATTCGGAGTGGGGGACTGCGCCCCCTCAGCCACCGCCATGTGGTACACCGTACTCGGAGGCTGTGTCGACGCAACGCATAGTACGCATACAGCCAACAGAAAACTGGTTTTTGCGGTGCGATGCGTTGTTTTATATAGAAGTAAGAGGGGTGAAAGGTGCGAATATATCTCGATCGGACTCGAACCTGTTGACCTGAACGAAGAGGCCGGTACAATAACGCAATCATCCTTCGAGAACGCCAGGCCCAGCTAAATTTACCCTGGTTAACAAGCATACGGGAAGCTAGGGCACTGAGAAGAACCGCATCTAGAGAAAGATAGCGCAAGAGCGTTGTGGGTGAATCCCTATGACTTGAGTTGTCGTCATGTTGTGAGGGGTGCGACTGATTGCACAGGCTGGTAGTGTGGCGCAGCACGGCTGACATGCAGTGGCCATACTATAGCGGAAGGGGAATTGGCAAGTGATTTGGCAGAACATAAGTCGCTAGAGCATCACTTTCGATACTCGGGGACCACCACTGTGAATTCTCCCTATCTCAACACATTACAACTACTTATGACATGCCCGCTATGCCTACCAATCATCTCGTCCACCGCCACGCCAACGCCGCTTGTAAGCAAGCATTCCCCGCCCTTCATCCCTGACATCATGAGACGAATGTCAGCCTTGCACCTGCTGGCTCTCAAAGTCCAATCAGACGCCTCTAGTTACTGTGGGCATGAGAATGGCAAGCGCAAAGGCATTAGAGCTGTACCGAGAATTCATATCGCACGTCTGGAGGAGTTGAGATAGTACTGACTCTCGGCCTGAATCCTGAGTATACAGCCTCACCCGTGTATACATTTCTATTCGAGACCGTCAAACTTTATAGCATTCATATCGCAATCCCAATTTAATCTGTAACACAATCCGATCTATTGCCCCCTCCCTCATCCCCAAAAGCACACCCAAGGTTTCGTCTAGAGTACGATCAGAACGTGTCGAGAGAGAAAAGAAGGTGGAATAGTGTAATGCTAAAAAACACGATGTTATCATAATTCACAAGGGTCTATCATTGATGATTACTAAATAGGTAAAGAAGAGAAAAAATCTTCGAGAAACGGAGTAAACAATATTCCCTAACCATGCCCCATGTATACACCTTCGCTATCCTCCTCATGACGTCCCTGCCCCCACAACCGTATCTTAGAAAAACATAGCAGCCAGACCCGCCGCTCCAACAACAGCCATACCGGCCGCTGGAACCAATCCCCCAGCCGCAGCACCTGTAAACATCTCCATAGGCGGAGTAGTGCTTGTAGCCGCACCGCTCACACTCGCACTCGTCGCCATAGTCGCAGCACTCGACGTCGTCACCGCACTCGTCGGCGTAGGAACCGCCAGCGGCGCCAGCGTCTTCAGAAATTCAGGCGTAGTCGTATATGTCATTGCATCCCCGAAGAACGCCAGCGATGCACTCGGGAACGGCAGCGGCGACACACGGGTTGCGCTGGGGAACGCTGTGCGTTCTGCTGCCGGGGCTTCTGGGTTAAGTGATGCGCGGTCGAATGGCGCGAGGGGGTTTAGGACACTGATTTCCAACACTCTGATTAGCTCTTCATTTCACTCAGCAAACTCCAGAAGGAAACATGGGAAAGAGGAAATGCAAGGAAAGGGGAGGAGACGTACCCATCAATCACATGCGCCACCCCATTATACAAGATCGTATTTACAAACGTAATCTTTGCTCCATTCACCCACGCACTGCCATCCGGTAGCACCGTAAACACCAAATCCTCATCCGCCATACTCTTCACTGTCACGTTACCCAGGCTAGGCGAGAAAATGACGTTTTTGGGGATGATGTGGTGTTTCAGCACCGTCTGCAGTGTTTCTTTGTCTGCAGTCGCAAGAACGGATCCGATGTTTTCAAATGCCTCGTTTGTTGGGACGAAGATTGTAAAGTCGGATATGTTGAGTCCGACTTGATCAGGTCCACTGAGTCCAAAGTCGATGGCGAGTTGGGCGGCTTGCAAAGCGCTGTTCATGGCGGTGTAGCCGGCGCGGTAGGTAAAGAGTTGGAAGGGGGCGCCGAAGGAGAAGACTGTGTCGATTTTATGGATAGTGATTCCCTCGCCGAGTTTGATGTCCTGAATGTCCACTGTCAGTTCGGCCTTCATCCCATTCATTTTCCATACCCGCTCTTCTGAATTCAAGATGATGGGAAATAGAAAGGACTCACAGCTTCGGTCACGGTCGAAACCGTCTGCTCCCCACTCAACACCTTCACACTCTCCCCATCCCTAACAAGTCCATTATACGCTCCTCCCGTAAAATCCGAAAAAGGCTGGATAGCATTAACATACGACCCATTTAGCAGCGTCTGCGCAAACGTCGGAATCTCCCCTATCACCTCCGCCGGATAAACCCCCTTGAAGACGTGATTCGCAAGAAGTGCTCCAATAGCCGCAGTGTCGTTTTTGAATTCGATGGCTTGGCCCTCGGGGATGTCGCGGGGAACGGCGGCGAAAGCGTCGTTGGTAGGGGCAAAAATGGTGATGTTTGTGGCGGAGGAGAGGATAGGTGCGAGATCGGGAATGAGAGAAATGAGAGTGAGGAGTTCGCTGAGGTCGGGTTGGGAGGAGAGGAGGGCGGCGAGGTCGCCTTGGGCGAGGGTGGTGCTGAGGGTGAGGGCGGAGGCTAAGATACGGGAAAGGCGCATGGTTCGGGGTTTGTGGGGATAGTTGGAGTAAGAATGGGTAAGAAAAGTGCTTGGTAGTCGAGAGAAGAGAAAGCTTTGTTGCTTGGTGGTGTGCTGGTGTGTGAGATTTTTGGTGATGCTGTTGCTCTGCCTTTATATACATGTTTCATTCATCGAGCTATACAATATACAAACTAATCCTCTCAATTGAGACTCAATAGTGACAGAATGACATCTACGATTCTGTAGCCGATGCTGTTGTTGCTTCTCGAGAGGTTCTGATTGGGGCGCAGCAAAGTGGTTGTGGTAATGCCACTGACTAGATTTGGAAGTCCCCAAGCCTAGTTGCTTTCTTTTTGAGGCTTTCCACTCTGTAAAGACGCAGGTCGAGACAAGATTTACATACGTGCATGATCCTATAGTCGTAGTGGTATATCACAGGACGAATGGGCGGGCGGAGGGCCTTGCCAAGCGATTCCACTTTCGTGCAGCGTGTGCCAGTGAGGATCCTCGGCTGGAGCAACGGCGAAAACTTGCCAGGGGCTAGGCCAACAGCCAAGTTATTGCGGCTACGAGCACATTGACATGCATGTTGTGAGGTACTTGCGGCGTGTTGTGTTGTGCATCTTGAGGCTGTGTGGACCATGTATGTCCATGGCCTTGTTCACAAGACTTTACCAACAATATACATAGTACGTCATTTTACAGAGAATCATACGCATTGGTATGATGGGCTGGTGGCACTGAATACAGACGTACAGACAAATAGTATATTCTGAAGGGGCCCATGTCATGTAGTCTACCTTTCGATCTTAGAACATGCAGTAAGTTTGAAGCCTGGCGGGGCATGACGTCGTTCGTGTGCGTGCCAGACGCCAAGCGACGGCTAGATTTCACCGCGCTCACACCCCGCCCCCCAACGAAAACAACAATATAATCCATTGGGGCAGTGTTCAGGCTCCTAGTACTACATCCATATCAGATGAAATTATTACTGGATATGTCATGTGATTTACTATCGTAACAAAACTAAAGCACGTATCTGAAGTCTTTGTTCACAAACTCAGTCTGATCTCGCATTCCAGCCTCGTCACTTGCTTCCTTATTTGGCGGGCCGTATACTCGGTCGCGACGCTTATTAGTGAAGAACATGTAGCCTGTAGAACACGAGTGTTAGGAATCGAATTAAGAGTCAAATTTGTATCAAGTAAATGTGTCTCTTACCGAGCAAAGCAAGGTGACATCCAGTCTTAATACTGTAGCCAACCAACAACCCGATCGTTGCACCCTCGTACCTGGGCGCCTCTTTTGCATCCACCACAAACGGACCGGCAAAATTGCCCCAGCAATACGCAGTGAAAACTAGGGCGCTGGCTAGCGAACGATGCGTGTATCCAGCCATGTTGGACGAGAGTGTGGTGAGCGATACAGTGAAGCCGACGGATTGCGCGTTTACAAGCCAGAAACTGACGAGTCGGCCCCAGGTATTGGATCGGGGGAGGTAGGCCATGCAGGCTGCGGCAATGGTACAGAGGATGTTTGCCGCGGTTGCTGTGAATAGACGCGCTGGATAGGTGTACTTAGCATTTCTTTGATCAGGTAGAATCATTGTTTGGCGTTGACGTGACGATAAATGCCGACTTACAGGTTGGGACGTTGAGGATTACAGATCCTCCGATCAGCAGTGCAATGATTTGTACGGCGTCTCCAACTGATTTCAGCTCCGTGGTCTTAGTCGTGCTAAAACCCATGTCGCGGATGATGATTGTGGAGAATGAATTCACTACGCCGTTGGGGATAGCCCTGCATGTCTTGGTTAGCACAGTTGAAGACACGAGGATAGATATTTGAACGGCGGGAAAGGAGGACACATACGCTGCGAAGACGCTAATGAAAAGAAGTATCGTCTTTGGATCTGTGAAACCGGCGACGATCTGGCCCTTGTCAAAATGCTTGTTCTTGATTCCAGTCTGGTTGCCGGCAACGCGTTTGACAGCGAGAAGGCGCTCTCGGTGGCTGAGAAAATGGGCGTTGGATGGAGAATCAGCCATGAATATCCAAATCACGATAGCCCAAAGACAGGTTGCTCCTCCAAGCTATCTCCGGTTATTTGTCTACGTTTTAGATGATGTAGCAGGTGAGACGTATAATGTAGAAAATGAGTTCCCATCTTTCAGGCTTCATGTCTACGGGGAGTTTTGAAATACCCATGGAAATGTAGGAACCAATCTGGATAAAGTCAGCTATACTTTTTACACGACAGGGACGCTGGTGAACTTACAATACCACCCCAGCCAAGGGATGAGCTAAGGAGTCGCGTTAGTTCGGATTTTAAAAACCAGCAGAGGCTAGTACTTACTACCAGATGCATTGACGGAGCGGAATTTCTCGTCGCGTGTACCAAAATCCGGTCATCAATGTCAAGCCTCTGAAATTGAGCATGAGTATTGCCGTCAATCACCCGATCTTCGAAAGAAACTTACGGGGTTACTGCAGCTTCAGACAATCCCATAAGAACTACAGGGTGTATGAGTGTGTGGACCAGGATATCTCTGAGAGCAGGAAACCATCTTACATCGGACGAACACTAGACATCAAAGTTAGGATACGCCCTATCCAAGATGACTCATCCAAGACGAGGTACGTACATGCGGTAGAGTAAGTGCGCGCTTGAGTCATTATGATGACTGTAAACCCCCAGCAAAGTATGCTAATAGCAAGAACCTTTTGAGCTGGAAACCGTCCAATGAGCCATCCACATGGATATTGACCGAAGAAATAACCAGCATATACCACTAAGATGTATCGTTAGTCGCAAGAAACATCAACCTTGGCAGATTTAACACTTACTTGCAGAGAGGATATTGAACTCCTTGCCCTTAAGACCCAGCGCCTTTTGATACCCAAACAAGTTCGCGTAGTTCAACGATGTCTTGTCCATGAACTGCAGAGCCTGTGTGACCAGAAACATGGGAAGGATGATCAAATCAATTTTCCACCTGAGTCTCTTCATCTAGAGTTAAATTATTAGGGAGGCCAGAGACGAACATAACATCTGCAAAAAGAAAACGAACCTCCTTGTTTGAACCCTCAATATTGCTCGCCTCAAGGTACTCCTTATAGCCCACGGCATTCTCCATTTCCATTCCAGTCGCGCCGCCAACATGTTTGGCATTGTCGCACTCTTCCATGATCTCAATGTCGGGTTCATTGGTTTCCGCAGCCATGATTCCAAAAAGGCTCAAAAGATATGGGACTGAATGAGACGAAGCAAACCGTGAAAACAATAATCTTCCACAGATGATCCCCCTCTTTAAACTCCCCGCAAAGAATCACGACTCATGTAGGCTGTAACGGCTGGGGTTGGATAGCGCTATTGAGTCTAGTCTTGGTCGTCCCCCGCATGGAGACCTGGACATTTCCCCACGGCAATTTTCCACGGAAACTTGCCTGCCACCAGTGCGTTTGCGCCACCCTCTCCACACCCCTGTCCCCACAAGTTGCCTTGCACACGGAGTTGCAATCTGCCAATAAATACAAGGTCCATACCGCTAAGCATGAGAAATGCTTGAAAAAATAAAGATATCAACTTGAATTCGTCATTACACCAAAAATCTCATCCGTTCCCGCTCTTAACTCCCCAACTCATTCCATTCCATTTCCACCACACACCAACAACCATGGGCCAATTACTCTCAAAACACAAATCCCATTCACGGTCGAAAAAATCAAGTTCCTCAGACACGGAAGAGTCGAAACCGAGGATTACGGATACATATCTGGCTAAACCGAGTGGCAATTGCTGTCTCAAAGGCACAATTCACAAAGGCAAAGCGCGTGGCAGATGGGAAACAATTGCAAATGTCGAGACGTACATATCAGAGCCACCATCAGCCAGCCAAAAAGCCAACGGAAACGTGATCCTGTATTTTCCTGATGTGTGGGGTATGTTTCCCAATGGACTGCTCGTCATGGATGCTTTTGCAAGCGCGGGATATACGGTTCTTGGACTTGATTATTTTAGAGGTGTACGGACTTTTTTCGCATTTCACGCCCCCCACCCTCCTTTTTTTCCATACTTCGATAATCGTTTTGGGCGGGTCTGATTGAGATGTTCATTTTATAGGATCCCGTATGGAAACATCGCAAGAATCGGCACGATACAGCTAATCCGGATTTCGACTACGAGGCTTGGAAGCGGAAACATACTGCATTTGCCGACGAGGCGGTACCAAAATGGGTAGCTACTGTCGTTGATCGATACAGGAAGGCGAACCCAAAGACCAAGTTTGCATGTGTCGGATATTGTTTCGGCGCGCCATATGTATGCGATGAGTTGGCTAAAGAGCGAGTCACTGTTGGTGCGTTTGCACATCCGGCGTTTTTGAAAGAGCATCACTTCCGGAACATACAAAGTAAAGTTTCAAACACCAATATTCTGGAGATATTTACGGAAACGACTAACAGTTTGGAAATCTAGAGCCATTGTTCCTTTCTTGTTCTGAGAGAGATCATACCTTTGATGTTCCCAGTAGGAGACGAGCACTAGATATTCTACAAGAAGGAAGCAAAACATACCACTATCACTTATTTTCTGGTGTTGAACATGGTTTTGCGTTGCGGGGAGATCCCGACGATCCTTATCAGCGTAGGTATCCCGATTTTCCTGTATTTGCCAGACTGCTAATGAAATGTGCATAACAGGCTGGGTCAAGGAACAGAGTCTTTCAGGAATTGTTGGATGGTTTGATTATTGGTTGTCGCAACCTGAGAGTACTTGAAGGTCGGCGCTGAAGGCAGCCTCAGGATAGAGCACATTATGTATTGTTTGATCTAAGATTTGAAAGCGTCGTAATGAGTTTTGTTTGTGCCCTTTCGTCGCATTTTTTACATCATGGTCATTCTACTAATTGAATACTCTTGATTGGTTCACTCGTGCGGTCAGACACAAGCGATTTAATACATCATGTCAGTTGCTACTTCAATACGATCGATACGATATTTGAGTAGGACGAGTAGCAGCAATGACATACGATCGTGCAATTCCGTTAGAAACAATTAGAATGCCGAGACACGTCTCAAGCAACACCTATAATCGACACATGATGATGGCAATGCGCGACTCAGAATCACAGCTGAACTACAGGGATAGAATGTATGAACAGATTAGCCAAAATCAGGCGCTATCATAGGCCCGGGTTTTACTGCAATGGACTCGTTTTGGCCTCGGTCAGTTTCCTCGGAGTGTACCCGGTGAGTCCCACCACGTTCGGCTGGGAACAAGTCCGCCCCAGCACGGGAACATCGATAAGATGTAAGAACAGTGGAATACTTAATGTAGGAGGAAGATGACACGACGTGAGTAGCATACATCTTGAATTTCTTAATCGACTACCCAATCGTAATCTTTTCTCATACTGCCCAAGAACTACGCATAGTGAATACCATCCAAGTCTCACTTTCTGCATCATGACGCCTCCCCGAGCATTAGATTTCACTGGCGATGTCGCCATAGTAACAGGTAAGCAATACAGTTCCAATCTATCTGCCTCTCAATTACTAGAAGAAAAGTCAGAGTTTGTAATCTAACTATTCCATCCACATTTCAGGTGCTGGATCGCGAATGGACGGAGAAATCGGTAACGGCCGAGCGACTGCGATTTTACTGGCCCGCCACGGTGCAAAAGTAGCTTTGCTCGACTACAATGTCGACTGGGCCAAAGAAACTAAGCGCATGATTGACCAAGAGGGCGGTATCTCCGAGGTTATACAAACGGACGTAACAAAGGAGGAGTCGTGTAAAGCCGCTGTGAACAAGACGCTGGAACTTTTCGGCACGGTGCATATACTAGTGAACATCGGTAAGTAAGGTCCAAGTCTATACATGCAAAAACACGATGTACGTCAAGTATTTTCGCACAGTGCGCTAATCATGCTTTCGTTGTTGCAGTCGGAGTCGGCGGCGCCATGGGCGACGCCACAGTCGTAAACCTCGATGCATGGGAGCGCGACTTTCGCATCAACGTCACGAGCATGGTGCTGATGAGTCGATTCGTGATCCCCGAGATGCGGAAGCAAGGGCGAGGATCCATCGTCAATATGTCCTCCGTCAGCGGCTGTAAGTAAAAAATGCTTTTAGCAAAGGTTGCCGCTCGCCGGCAGATCTGCAGGCAGCTAATGCCAATATGTAGTATTAGGAGGTAACCCTAGTCTTCTTTACCCTACTACCAAAGGCGCCATCATCCAGATGACCCGGGCGATGGCGGCGCAGCATGGAAGAGAGAACATCCGTGTCAATTGCGTTTGTCCAGGGATGGTATACACGCCTATGACGCGCGGGCGCGGCATGACGGATGAGATGAGAGAAGCGAGGATTAACCAGAATCTTATGAAGAAGGAAGGAACGGGCTGGGATGTGGGCTATGGTGCGTTTCTCCCAAACTAACCCCCGAGACTTTGAAATTCAGACCAGTGAACTAACATGTACTTGAAGCTATATTATTCCTTTCAAGTAAGGAAGCAGGATGGATCACCGGATTGATCATGCCTGTTGATGGAGGCGTAAGTCTTCTCACACTTTGTTTTCCTCTTTGGGAGTTGGAAACTAACAAGATTTGCATAGACAACTGCTGGAAAAGCTGACCGACCTGCCCTGAAGCCAGACACGTTAGCTGAGACGACTACGGGCGTGAGCAACTAGGCGAAAAAAAATTTAACTTGTATAAGTAGTTGACATGGTTAGACAAATAGCAGCTGAAACTATACTCTGATTCGGAGAGATATACATAAGGTAATCGGCTCTAAATTTTGCCGAGACAATGATTACAATGACATGGCATCCCGAGAATCAAGCCACATCTCTGGGAAGCAATCCAAAGCTGCCATAGAATCAAAGTCCATTTCACCCACATGTGAGCTCATGGAAAAGTCGACCGAAAGTTCCGGGTGCAGATAAGGAAAGGCGGGTATGTATGAATTCATGTGCCCCCCAACTGCATCTGCTGACATGTGCGTAGCACCTCGATCTTGGTCATGCGCAGCGTCTGGCGGTTGTTGATGCTGGCCTGACGGGGCATGGGTCAGACTTCTGATGATGATGTTCAGACTCCTTTCGAGTATCGGACATAGACGCATGCCGACGTTGAGAGCACGAAGAAACGTTCGCAGCACGGGATGCGCAGTACCTTGATTGCATCTCTTGGCATCTTCTAGCACAGCTGATGCGCCCGTGTAGATGCAGTATCCCATCAAGTAGGTAATGTTCTCTAATCCAAATGTCGACTCAAGTAATAGAACCAGCTTCTCGATACCATGGGCCGCTGCGATGCATGTCTCGTAGTGAGCCGGCACAGACCAGAACGGGCGATGTGCCAAAATCACCGTGGTATAGTACAAGAGGTTTTGCGAAACAATGTGTGGTGGTGGCGAGACGGTAGGAATATAATCTGGCTCATAGCGCAGGTGAGCTGGAGACTCGGCTCGCCAGACATCCAGTCGTACTTTGATGTCGCGCAGCGCTGACTCAGTGATTTCTCGACTTTTTCGGGAATAGAGTTGGGAAATGATGTCGTTTATGATGATGGAGAGCTTGCATGAGTTTGCAAAGCAGGACACAGCACGACTCGTCTGAGGTGCGTATCGACTTTGCGTAAGCTTGGCCATGTCAACAGAGTCCCCGTAGTAGGGAGACCACGACTCGAGCTCCATGGAATCATCAACTAGGGTCGTTAGAAGATACCAATACAATTTGGCGGAAGCAGTTACTAACGCTGATCGAGTGTGCTATGTGGTAGTGATTCGGTAATAGCAGGAAGTCTTCCCGTATACATGCTAATGGCTCTTCAAGGTCAAAGGTCAGTAACAAAATGTAGTCAACGGTTGACAGAAGAAAAATACGTACTTGTCCCAAAAGTAGCAGCTCCAGAATAGCCGTTTCCGAACTTCAGCATCTACAGGACCAAACCTCCGAATGCCAGGGTCGCAGTGCTGTAGTCCAAGGTCACTCGCCATACGAAAAGCAATCCCACTGTATACCCAGGCTTGCGAAATGGAGCCGTTTGCGAGCTCACGAGCGCTGAGTTGTAGGAGTGCTTGGACTGTTGGTATGGAACTTGGCTGCTGTATGGCTGTTCCTAACAAGCGACGCATGCGGACTTGCAGGAATTCTGCGCAGTCTCCACTTTGATACTTGGCTGCATGCGCACATATCACAGTAAGAAGTAGTTCAGAGTAATAACGACCTCCAGTCGCCATATCACCTGTGACATGTATCAGTACGAGATGTAGCCTATCGATGGTATGATTAGACGAGAGTTGGATCGGACATTAAACCTACGGACAAAGGCTATGCCAGAGGTCAGTCATATCGGGTAACGTTTTTTGTAGAAGCAAGCAGACGTACCTGGACGGTAAACATACATAAACATTGGAGACACCCATGTCCAATGCATGTGTAAGAGCTTGACCATAACCTGGTGTGGGATGCCTGTCTGGAGTGAAGCGTTTCCGGTTGCAAAGTCTTCCCATATCTTGGACTCCTGGTAGTGAGCCGTGAGTGTTGAACTAATTTCAGTTGTTGAGAGGGTGCCAGAAGGTGTTGAGCAAGATTGGGATATCTGAGATGGCAACTGGAGCTGCGGAGGGTTGTGGATGGCCGATGTGGGACCATAATATTGTATATCGCCGTTTTCATCAAGGATTAAATCCTGCAAGTGGTCTTTGGATGTACTTGGACATGTCATTTGTAGGTTTGTAGGGCGATGATTGGGTTTGAAAGCGGGCGGCTCTTCGGCAGATGCAACGTCTGGAGATACCATAGCAGCTACGAGCGGGCCTGTTGGAGTGGAGGTTGTCTGAAGAGAGACATCGCTCTGTGAAGAAGTGCTGTGCTGGGCACGAAGGCTTCCAATGGTTTCTTCAGCCTCTTGCAAGCGCTGAGCCATGGCTATGATCTGCGACATGGGCGGCATCTTGTCGTATCGACATTCGTCGCCGTAGATATCGCATGTCTTACAACGTGGCTGACCACCTCCACATCGCATCTACGAGAGGTTTGTTCAGATTGGGTCAGGCAATGATGGAAAAGAAGCTACCTTTCGCACCCTGCAGTTAGCGCAGGTCAATCCCCTGTAGTGACGGGTATCATTCTTCGATCTGGAGCCCTTCTTTCTCGTATGTCTGGCCTGGGATGGCCGCTGGATAGAGGCATTATCATCTACGGGCGATTGCATGGTGGAGGAAAAGACTGGTCGTTACATTATTGCAACGTCCGAAGAAGCCTTTGATGCAAGTGGACGGACGAGCCTGGGCACAACAGGTAGAAAGTGGGTCAAGTGCGGGGAGACAAGCCTTGCTTCGGCATCGCTACCACGACTCAGTGAGGCCGCGGCGTGGCATGCAGACCAGATGATGAATCCATTGTATTGCCGGCATCTGTCGGCCAAAATCCGCGGCCAAAACCCGAGTACTAGTACGGATTATTGTGCTCTCACGCCAATCACTTTAAATTAGGCTTCAGGATATCTCAATAGACTTCAAGATCAAGATCGGATGACTGAGTATACTAAGAACATACCTGCCAGCCCATTTCCGGCATGGCCTGCTGATCAAATATATGTGAATGTACGTCGGCAATTACTTCCGCTTCCGTCACCTGACCTTCCTACTTCACCCATCTCCATTTCTGCATATACGCACAGCAGCCTCCATTTACTTTCTTCTAATACCTGCCCCTTGTGTTGCCTGATCGCTAGCCATTGCATTAAGCTTTGTACGACCGTGCAAGCATGCCAACATCTGTCACGTTCGCAATGCCCAAAAATGCCGTATATGCTTTCTCAGCCCTGACATCGCCGATCCTCTTTGCAACTTGCTCAATGAACTTGGTACGAAGGAATTCAACACTCAGCGGGTTCTCATAGCTGCCAAGGCCATGCTCGACATGCAACTCGATCTTTTTGCCGCCCGAAAACTCAACCGTGACATAAGCCTCGTGTTCTTCGACTGTTTCATCGCTCGTCACCACCACCTTCTCCCGCAGTGCGATTACAGTCGTGTTGCGTACCATCTCATTAGTGAACTGTGTCGGGGTGGCTTCACCACTGAGGAGTGCCACGGCTGCCGCGTGGTATACGCTGAATTTTCCCTCCAGGCCCGTTGTGGGTGTCTTGTTGTCCGTTAAGAATAAGACGCGCGGAGCTGTACGTGCTGTCACATTTGTGATTTCTCCTAGATCTAAGCCTTCATTCAATGCCTGCTCTCGCACCTGGATCCAGCCGTCGATTGCAGGGTGTATAATTCGATCGCAAGGGAATGGCTTGAACGTGTTGAGCAGTAACTCCCAGCGCTGACCAAGAGTGTTCACTTCAGCGGTCAGATTCTCCCGGGTACTGATGACATGCGACCAGCCTCTGGGTGCTTCTAGACTTTTAAGAGATCCACTGAAACCTTTTTCTGCTAGCCCTGCCGCCATGAGTCCATTCTGTGCTGCACGCCCTACATGGAATGGTTTCGTATCGGTTCCAAAAGATTCGTGCATACCAGTGACCTGCACGGACGCAATCGATATGGCCTGTTGAAGCTTGGGCAGGTCCAAGCCGAGTATTTTCCCAACAGCAACTGCAGCTCCCACTGAACCTACAGTACTTGTAATGTCTAGGCCAAAGGTCAGTCTCTGGTGATTAAAACGAGACAATCACAACAACTTACGCCATCCTACATTATAGTGTTCTGGGAAAACCGAGACGCCAATTTTGCACTCAGCTTCTACGCCGGCGACGAAGGCCGCCACAAAGTCCTTTCCTGATACCGGCGCTTTCCATTCGGCCACAGCAAGCAGGGCTGACAGTACAGGCCCCGAAGGATGAATTGGGTTGTCCCGATGTGTATCGTCGTAATCATCTGCGTGAGATGCTATCCCATTGATCAGTGCTGCTGTCTGGGCGTCGACCAGTGTCTCTGTGGCCAAGATAGTAGAATTTCCCTGGCTACTCAGGAAAGGTGTCACAGCTTCGAAAGTAACGCCGGCAGCTGGTTGAGAGTACCCACCAATGGCACAGCCAGCCCAGTTGTAGATACTTTTAACGGAGATATCAAGAACGGGATTTGGAATATGAGCAAATTGGAGGGCCAATGCCCATGAGGCGATTGTTTTCGTGGCCATCTTTGCGTTAGAAACTGTGAATACGTAGAGTAGACAAGGTGCAGTTGATCTTATATCAAAAAACCAAACACAACTGCAGTTAGCTTTCATAATCCATGTAAGGATAACATTATGTCCATGCATGTCAAAGAAAAAGGTCGATTCGAAGCGTCATCTGACCCGATTTGATTGATTTGTAACTCTCTTTCTCGTCACAGCAAGTAAATTTCTAGGGATCGCCATGCCAATTGCCTACATCTACCATGATGTGTTCACTGTTGAAAACCTGAGTATGTTCCGTGGGGAAACTCCACGGAAGACTTCCATTTGAAAGGAGTGGGGAAACATGGGTTCCGCGCGTTTATGTATTTCTTGCCTGGTAATAGAACCATCTTTGTTAATTCTGTTTCCTTAAAGGCCGGGTGCAGTAATTCCATATCTATTTTCACGCACAAGCTACAGACGTTGCGAGATGATATCGATAATATCATCTAGAGCGCAATATAAGGAGATCCATAAGCGCACAGAAAAAATCATTCTAGACTTTCGCATATACCAATAGTACAAATGCTTTTCAGGCTGGTTGAGTATGGCCATCTAGGCTTGGGAAGGACAGACGATGGTCAAAGCTTCTAATGCCAACACCAAGACACATACTAGAGCTGCGAGGGAACATAGCTTCGCACTACGGACATCTTGGCTAGACTATTTCTTCAAAAAACGAAGAGTATTGCCGAGCCCAACGTATGCGGGGTATTTGCGGGGTGTAGGGCCGATCGTAGGTATACTGGGGGAAACCGCCGCGGGCAATGCCCGAGGGCAATCAAACCATCCGACTCTCGAAGTAGTGTAGACGATCAAGGCAACTTTGATCTTAGATTTATTTCTTCGAGTTAAAATAGAGTCTAATCACCCCGCTACATGTGAGTATTTTACAAGAAATGAGTTCGTGTTCGCGCTCAACTGTTCTTTCCGATTAACCTGCCTCGTCCCGCCGTACTATCATCATGGGTGTCCACCACCTCTTGACTGGTTCTTACACCAACACAAGCCTATATCTCCTTGCTTTCGACACCGTTGCCAAAACATTGACACTCAACTCTACCGTCCCCGGTTTTGGTCTACATCAATACGTTACATCCAATGCAGCCAGGGATGTGATATATGCTACGACGATGAGTGAGCCGCCCAGAATATTCTCATGGTCAAGAACGGTGAACAATGAAATTACTCATATCAATACCGCCAACGTTAGTGAGTTTTGACTACACAAAACCACCGTTGTCCACATCAATACTAAAGTGAATAGCTACATCTTCGTGCTACATCTCAGACAACGGAAACTTCACCTTCTCTGCTGGTGGCTCCGGCGCCAGAGTTAATGCGATTGACGAAGATGGTGGCATCGGAGAAGTGGTCAGCGAAATGTTCTATGTTCCTCAACAAGAAATTCCACGCGTCGACAAAACCCGTAGTGCTGTTGTGAGTTAAAGCCGTTTAAGCCAAACAAACCAAGTTTGGTTGACATTGAGAAACCAGCTTTATGGCGGACATGGATTCGATGTCAATGTTAATAGCAAGGGTTTTGTACCGCATCTGTAAGTCACAAGCTCCTACGCTTCCCAATCTACCTTCACTGATATGATCAAAGTGCCTGGGATGCGATCTTCATGTATGGCATTTTGAGCAACGGAACAGCCAAACTCCTCTCGATCAATCTAAGCCCAGAATTCGGCGATGGTCCACGAAATGTGTATCCGAGCAGCGATGGAAAGTGGTTATATGTAGTAAGTGAGCCGAAAAAACACAAGTGTACGTCTTAAACTAACCGAAGTAAAAGATCAACGAGCACTGTGAGTATTTACGTCTGATTACCACATAAATGATTAGTGCGCCACAAAACTAACTTGCGACTGGTAGCCCAATACCTTGATATTTATGAGGTTGAAGAAACGAATCTGAAGCACACTCAACGTGCAAGCGCCATACCCGATCGTAAGTCATCATGTACTTTGTAGATCGCGATATCACGCAACTAACACAATGTACTCTAGAGGTCCGAGGCAAGTACACATACCGCAGCAATGCCGTCCGCCTTTCCCGCGACGGCCAGACTATATTCACCAGCACGCGCGGCTGGAACAACGCCGCCGCCAACGGCTGGGTTGCAGCCTTTATGCTCGACGATACTGGCAAGCTCGCATCAACCGACGCCTTGACATATTACGAGGCGCCACTTACCCTCGGTTCCGCCGCGGGACTCCGCGTAGCCTTTTGGGAGGACGAAACGAATGCCGACCCCACCGGCCTTACTGACTATATGTACTTGTCTGATACACAAGAGGGATACATGTATATCCTTGGGTGGACGCCTAGTACACGGAATCTGACGCAGGTAGCTGCGTTGCACTATCCTGATAATGCGGCGCCATATGAGGCTGTGTGGCTTGATTAGAAGTAGTAAAAATAGCGGTTAAGAATTACTCCGATACAAACTTTTCACTCTTAGTCAAACTGAGATAAATATCTCAATATTCCCATCTACGAAATAGGTCTCCGCGATGTTTGCCACAGAACCAGAAGTGCTTTGTTCAATCAAGACAGAGCGTTTGTGTACTTAGAGCATTCGTAGCCACCATCCCTATCTAAGTTTAGATCTGGATTGCCTCGCAATTGCTCATGAATTCTAGCAACACAGCCAGCCCGCTACAAAAAAATATCTATTCGTTGAATCAGGACTGAACTTCCATCTCATTTTCAAACCATCCGTTTTGTACCCATTTGAGTGGCCCAGCTCACCACGTCATCCACCACGTGATCAGATCAGAGATGAGATGGAGCTCTACTAACCGAACAGCCCCTCCGTTTTCTATCCTAATCTAGATAAGTTCAATCAGAAGGAAAGTCCTAACTAATTGTGGTCTGGAAGATGGCTGACACAAGGATAGTGCCGGTGTGTCGCTTGCCAACAGTATGCAGAGTGAAGTCATGCACCAATCAAAACACAGACAGCACATTTAGATCGGTCAAAATTCACCGAACTACTCAGCCATAGCTTTAAAAGAACAAGAAGTAAGATGTGTCGTACTTGATTACGAAATGGCAACGCTTGCCTGATATCTACGCAGAATGGCCTTGTAGTCATTATACCATTCCTCCAGCCACCCCGTCGCATCAATCATGCGGGTTGTGTAGCAGCTCAGCGTTGGATCGAGAACTTTCATAGGTGCCACCAGGTTCCGCAGTCTAAGGCCGCATTCTTCGATGCGGAAACAGTCTTTTGGCAAACATTGGCCATATGTGTTCTCTGGGTCGTTGGCTGCGACCAAGGTAGTAACGAGCACGAAAAGAGCATGCAAAACGGCTGGCGCAAAGCAAAATGAAGGGAGACCGATAACCATAGCTGGGTCCATTTCAGCTGCTGTTTTTATTACGCCATGGCAGTTTTGCACAAGAGCTTGCAGGGCTTCCCGCAGCGGAGGGATGATCATGGCAGGCTTTGGAAAGTCCTTGACTGGAATGCGTCCGGGGATAAACGGCGATGCAAAAGATGCCTTGTTAGTGGGAGTGTGTAGCACAAGCTCATACAAGTGTATCATGGACACATGCCAATATACTCTGAGTATCTTGGAATGTGCGAGACTGGGTGGGATCTGAGCTGCCCATGCGTCGAGCTTAAGCTTGAGCGCATCAATGACTGCGTAGACGTTGTAGTCGTTGCCATCTACATAGGTAGATATTTGGCAGAGACACAGATGGTTGGAGATTTCCTGGTCAAGCTGAGTGATACGAGCAATCTGACAAAACAGCAGGTCGGATGCATCGCCGTTGCTCTCTAGGTACCCGACACATTCATCCAAGTAAGCATCCCAAGGAACGGGACTGGGTCGACGGGTGCTCATGGACGAAGTAGAGGTTGCAATGTAGCAGGCTATCCAGGTGCGGCGTGCCTCGAGTGACGCCGTGTCCTGGAGTCTGCAAAAGAATGCTGGAGGTGTCGGCTGCAGTGAACCTCCGGCAATTCCCAGGTCAATAGCCATGTCAGTGGCTAGTTGGAGGATCTGATAACAACTTCCTTGCTGGCCGTTGCGTGTGCTCTTGGTGTAGAAAGCAGGCAGGAGCAGAGCTTGCACGAGCTCAAGAGACCGCTGCCCTCGGGCAATTACCTCGCCGCCGAGTACGCGCATGGCTTCTCGAACAAGCTCATCATGTAGGTCTAGATCAATGCCTTGGGCGTCTTGTGTGATGCAGAAAACTAGCGCAGCCACCAGCAGGACCGGGGATTTTGCTCGGTAGAACTCGAGATTGGTAGTCAAACGGACTGCCGGCCACGCGGCCTCAGCTTGGAGTGCATAGTGGTGGAGTAGCTGTTGCTGCTTGTAGAGCGGGATGCGCGCATCCAGGAATGACAAGATGGCGTCGTGGTGGCTTTCAGGGAGGCTTGCGGGAGAACGGCTTAGCGTTGACAGACTACCCGGCGAACAGCTTGGGGGAGTAGAGATGTTCTGATGGGACTGTCTCTGCAACGCATTCTGGAGTTCCTGGACCTGGGATTCGAGCTCACTAATGCGGTCGCGTTGTAGGCGTGGTGCAGCCGGTACACACTCAAGATCGTTGCGATGGCACCGCTCGCAAATGCCTGGTTGTGGGGAGGTGCTCACGTCGCATTTGATTTTGAGACGGTGACATTCTTCACAGGCGCGATAGCGTTTTCGCATGGTGCTACCAAAGGCCCGGGCTACAGTGAAGTTTGATTTCACTTCTTTGGCGGTTTTTAAGTCTATGACAACTTGATTTGATGCAAGCAGTCATTCCGGGAGGCCTGGGGCTGGGCTGTGGCTGTGTTGGCCCGTGGCACCCCCGCCCTGGTGAAGCTCGCCACCTCGCATATGTACACACACAATTTGTTACATAGCCCCGATCTCAGACTATAATGAAATCATAGCAATAGTGATAATTTTGAAACCCGGATCGAAGGTTGTAAAGAGTTGAAGACCCAGTAGCAATTAGCACGGGATGCAGAGTCACGTGGTCGTAGTTGTGCCAAGACAGCACATAAGTGATGGTAGCCATTAGAGACATCAGGCTTAGTACACGGACGCAGTAATAGTAGTAACTATAGGATCTGAATTGAAATTTTCAAAGAATGAACAAATTTCATTGGTAATAATAAAATCTGTTCATCTTTCATACCCATTGCTTTCCAGTCCTATCCTCCCTCGCCTCAGCATCCTCTCAGGGGCCCAGTCTAGGCAAGATGCCAGCTACGTGATACTCACCCCGCGATGATCACCACCTCTCTGATATGAACTTGAGTGGTCTTCCAAATATTTATCTTCCGTCACAGGTGGGAATGCTGTCTCTTGTTATTTGTAACATACGAAGCAGATGGGCAAATTATTGACTTGATTCAACAGCAGTTAAATATTGAACTTCGACCCCATCTAAATGACCCATACCAACAATGGAAAAGTGAAGTTCAACCTCGTATACCACGTTCCATAATTGAACTTCAACAGACGATATTCTATACCGTGTGAGTCAGTATTGAAAGTCTTGAGAGTTATTGTAGTATGTGTACATACGCAGCAGGCTTCTTTATGAAAAATAACCTGGTCCACGTCGCAGAAGGTTGTGCAATACCTCGCATCCGTGCTGTGAAGACCGCAATAAAAGAGGATTCTTTTGTTGCCGTACACCTCACACTTCAACACCGTTAGCAAGAATTTGTCTAATATTGTCGCAATTTATGCCGGTACACATAGATACTAGTGTATTTTCCTATTCTCATACCAAGAATCAAGACTTACAATGCCGCAATACGATTCTGCTGGGATAGTAGGGATCCATGCTAGCAAAGCGAAAAAGGTGGTAGAGAAAGATCTCATGTTTTGCGAATCGTCTGTGGTACTGGAGTATGAGTGAATATTTGCTATGTAGTAGACAAAAACTAGAGAGATCTCTCTAGTTTATATAGTTCTCTTCGTCCTACTTAAAATAGACTCTGATGTAGAACATCAGCCCAGCTTTGTGTTGGATGTGATTGTTAGTGCTACGGACATTGACGGAATATGCTTGTCTCTTCTAAGCCGATATCAAAAGCTAAACCCCGCTTCTATCGTATTGTGTGATTCCACGACTTCCGTAGGGTGAAGATCATAGAGTACCCCTACAACGGATATTCGTAACTCCTGTAAGCAGGCGGGCCCTGCTTGACATAGGCTCTAGCTAAATTCAATAATTTTACGTTAGTAAGGCGAAAAGAAAAAGAGAGAAAGAAAAGAAATATGCCTTTCCACCTCTCATTGTACTTCCTCCAGTCTTTATCTCTCTTTTTGCACTCTTCTTCCTTTTTTTCGACCTTCATTTCTCAAAAGAAAGATAAAAAACAAGGGAGGAAAGTAAAAGAGAGAGAAGAAGCCCTAAGTTACAGTGCCCTTATAGAATATTGGAAACACCGTCACACGAATAGAGATCCCTGCCCTTGTGGAGTGATGAATATAACCTAAACGGGAACTCAACAACCTTCACCCGTCCGCAGCCATCCGAGCATCTTACTGTGGTACATGGCACAAGTTTCGTATGTGGGCCACTAGCAAGGGGACGATACAGACCGGGATTGAGAGTAAGAGTTATATTATAAATAGTACGATCTATACCAATTAGAGTTGTGGTTATAAAGAATATACTTGGATTTCTCTATAATAAATGAGGTATAGAATCATCCGAAGTAGAGCCCCATCATCATTTTAGCGTCTCCATATACAAAACTTATACCATGTACTACAGAACATCACACGTAATATCCAATGTGCTAAGTACGAAGTCTCTACCAATCGAGAGGCTTATTCGCGTTATAGCGTAACCTGCTCGAGAAGATAGAGTTTCTTATAGATTGTTCCAGGTACTTCCGATAAGTCGTTCAACTATTTTTCTACGAATCTACGGATTTAAGCCAGGAATAGGCCATCGGGTTCCTAGCAACGGCCAGATCGTCGCGAATTTGGGGATAAAAAAGAAGGGGATGTGAGATTTCAGTGCTTTTCGGCTTAGACTTCGCAGTACCCATTCAGCGTCGTCCTCTAATTTCACACAATATGAACCTCTTCATCACCAGTCCATTTAAGTAACAAGCTCTCCACAACCTTATCTCTATTCTTACCATTCCACTCTTCCACGAGCTTAGAACTCGGCTTTCCCTTGTCCATCTTCAATTTGGTTGCTCCAGAGCTGGACTTGCCGGCCGCCCATCTGAAGAAAGGACTAGGAACCGTTTTTGAAGTACTGCTAATTTCCGAGTCGCTGTCATCCAAAGTACCAGCAGAAAAGTATGTTGCTTCAGGTGGAGGTGGTGGAGGTGGTGGTGGTGGGGATGGAGGACGGTTTCGAAGTGGATCCGAAGGTTCAGGTGGAGGTGCAGGCTGAGAGGGCTCAGGCATAGGCCACATGTGCATGGTCACATTCCAACCTGGCTGTACTAGGTATTGCCAGACCTGTGGAAGGATGACCTGGCCGTCAGGCCCCATAAGATCGTAATGGCCTTCTTGGATATGAGGCCCAATTATATCGACATGGAGGAAGGCTTGCTTGATGAGTTCTTCCATACTCTATAGTGGTGGATTAGCTGCGATGGAACAATTACATATATCAGGGGTACGTGGGTATCAACTTACCTTCCACGACTTGACTAGATGATACGGAAACGTGAATTTCCTTCCCACGGCATCTTTGAAGTTGATTGTTGCCTTCGCCTCGCTTGGAATAGCCTCTTTCTCCCTAAAGAGCGTCTCGATATCAATAGGTCCTTCTTTCCTTTCCGCTGAAGATGTAATCCAAACCAAAGTCACAATGTCGAGCTGACCAAAGACGGTAGGTACGCTCTCTTTGTGCCACACATCTACATGTAACAGCTTAGCGTCTCTGGATTCAATGTGGGCGAGGATGAGATGCCGTTGGTAGCTGTTAAGGTCGTGTAAAGTTTTCAAGGGACTACGGTTTTGTGCCTCTTGCTTCTGTAGAGTGGCGTGGATCTCTGTCTCCAGCAAAGTGAGTTCTACAATGCCTAGAGAAGCGCCAAAGCCAGAGCTTAGGCCAGGAAGCACGCTGAATGTCCATGCTTGTAGAAATTCATGAACATCATTCGTTTTGGTACCAGGAGAGCTTGATTTGGGTTCTTCGACATTGGTAGCCTCGCTTTTTTGGGGGGCTGCTCCTTCTGGTGGTCCCTGTTGGTGTTGCTTACTCTTGTGTAGTAGACTGGAATTCGTTTTTGTTTCGGTGAATGGCCCATGTATTGCTGCTCTTCGTGCATGAAGCGTCTTACTCGTCTGATGGTTTTGGGATACATCTTTCTCGATATTGTCCTGGGCGTTTTCGGAATTTGGTGTTGCAGATCGGCCGGCGTCTGCCTTGATTAAGCCTTCACTATTCCTAGCTGATGTCTTGCTCAGAAGAGCTTCTGTAGGCAGACTGCCGGAAACTGGAGAGCAGTCTGCCTGAGATGTATTACGTTCTCCCGAGGCCAGCTGGTTTTGGTGAGTTAAATTGGTGTCTGCAGCTGGCGGCTGATTTGGATTACTTTGCTGTCGCACGGCTTCATTTGATGTGACTTGCTCCGCCCCTACGGTAGTTTCCGCATCTTTCTCGTTATTCCTATCCTTGTTGTCATCGACATCGCCTTCTAGCCTCTTCTTACGCCCACCATTCCTAAAGCTGATCTTTTGAAAAAATTTCTTGACTCCATTCTCCTTTTCTTCCTCAGACATGTCGTCTGAGCTACTTACTTTGAGAGTTCCCGCCCTTTGCAGCCTCAAAATCGTTGCCTTCATCTCTGTCTGCTCCCGTTCATCAACCCGTCTGCCAGAGCTTTGTTTTTGCACGATTGCTAAATTAGCCACTGCCACCATCAACAGGAGATTGGTCTTTGAGTCTCGAAGATCGGTACGTAGGTCATTAAATTGTGGTTGCAGGAAGGGCCATTTAGCCTTTTCAGAGCGAGAGAGCTTGATTTTAGAGTTGGGTGGTGGTATTATTCCTTTGACTTGTCTGGTCGCTCGTTCAAGGTACTTCTTAACCTGGCCGAAGATAGATTGGCAATGGTGCAGAGCTGAAGATATGTCTGAGAGCGCGTTGGAGTTGAAAATGGAAGTGTGGGTGTCATTGGGCCGGGATTGAGGCGTTATGAGATCCCGCAGTTGGTTTCTGTATAGCGGTGTGAACACCACTGAGCAAGGCTGTAACCTGGAGATGGCTTGACAGGCATAAAAAGAAAGAGACTCACAAGATCCCGCAGGTACTACTGATATCATTCGCAATACTCTCGACTCTCTCACTGGCAGTGCTGACCGTCTCTACAAGAGCAAACAGCGATATAGATACCTGTACTCCCGCAGCCGCTATGCCCACGACAGAACCTGCAATGCTTAACGGATCTGACATTGGGCAGTGGGCCCTCCGCAAATAATAGCGAGATTAAATTTTGAAAAATGATTTGGCAGCCATCGAGAACACTGAAGTCGTAGCTAGATAGGGCAGTACTGTAGGCATGAGGAGGAGAGTAGAGGGATAGGTGCCATGTTGGCATTCGCTGGCAGCTGAACACTACCCCTGTAAGGCGCTAGTACTGTACGGGAAGTACAAAGTTGACGGGAGAACAGGAAACCAATTAGGCGTGCTACTGTACCCACAACCATGTCTTGTTCCTTGTCAGCCATGTATCCATATTTTTGGTCTTTTTAATGCTCTTCTTAGTTATCGCGTAATCATCAACTCGACTAAAATGCAACCTTTCAATGCCGCGTTACCAAATAGAGCGACAGAATGCGAAACTTGTCAACTACCTGTCATTCGCCAAAACAACGTGGGGCCATCCTTGACAACAGCTCAATTCTTAGGATATAAAAGCACATGGAAATCTCAAGATTCAGGTCTCTCTCCCATCTCAGCCTCGTGGGGAATTTAGCATTAAATAAATAAACACCACTCGCACCCCACCAAGTTCCACCCCTCCATCCGGAGCTTGTTCGAAACAAGCAACGCGGCCCATCCATCCCCTCCCCCGCTGCTGACCCGGGGAAACCACTCCATCACCGCTCTGTGGCCCACCTTGGAACCACCCCCGGAATCTTACCTGCGTGCAGGCGCCTGGGCTGACGCAAGGAAAGTACACCATGTCATACCACTCTCTTTAACCACACCTCATCTTTATATCCGTGAGACTCCACCTCCGTCACATCCGCACGCGACCATACCCACTCCCCCTCTACCCACAATGAAGCTCAAAGCCACCCTCCGCGCCCGCATACCAGGGATTCACTGGAGTCCGCACGACCTCGCATCTTCAGAACCCTCGTCATCATCCTCAAAACCCAAATCGCGAATGTCTTTTTCACTAAAGTCATCCGCTCCCGACTCCGCAACTACCACCCGCCCCCGCAAATCCAGACTGGGCTCGACGACGCCCTCCGAACCCAATGTCGAACTTGACGCGCGCACACTGGCGCAGGGCCAATCGCTATTCTTCGCCCGTCTACCAATTGAGTTGCGCAGAATGGTGTACGAATTTGTCATGGGCGAGGAAGTCGTGCACCTGACACTGAGCCAAAAGCGGCGGTTCGGCCATTGTATCTGCCAGTGCGAAACCTCCATGTCTCACAAAGGCAAGCACCAATGTACCTGTCGCGTCCTCGTCGGTGGTAAAAAAGGCGCAAGACTAGATTCCAGCGCTGCAGCCCTGGTGCGAACATGTAGACGCATGTATGTCTTCTCTTTCCTTCACACTCCCACTTGGATATGAATGGGAAATAGCTAACTGTGTATAGATACGCAGAAGCAATCCCGCATCTCTACCGCACACACACCTTCTCCCTTCTCCACATCACGCACCTACTCTACCTCCCATCTTCCGTCCCCCAACTCCGACTCAACACGATCCGCACGCTGCATCTCCGCTGGGCCATCCGCGCGCTACCGTATCTCCGGCGTGGTCCCTCGAGTCGCGTGGCATATCGCGAGGATACTGCGAATTGGGAGACGGGGTGGGGGATTATCGCGGGAATGCAGGGGTTGAGGGAACTATATGTTGTGCTCATTGATCCGAGTCCGCAGGGGTTGTGGGAGAGGAATTGGTTGCAGCTTGAGGATGTGTTGATGGAGAGTGTGAGGGGAGTTACGCGGCCGAGGGATGCCGTGGTGGTGATGCCGTATCAGAGTTGTGGGGTGGATTGGGATATGGGGGATGGGTGTGTACGGCTGGTGAGGCCGGAGGATGGGGGTGCGGAGGAAGGGGAGGAGTGACTTGTACAACATCACTTTTGAGGAGTGAGTCTAATACGCTGTATATAACACTACCATCACAAACATTTAATCAACTTCAAATCACTGACATGATTCATGTTCAATACTTTTATTCAACATTATCTAATCATCTATCATTCCCTTTTTCTTCCACTCCTCACAACCCAAAGCAATTAGCATAGTAAGTAACCGTAGCCGGCCAATCCGTAAACATGCCCAGGATCCCCACATCTTGCGCCAGCACATCCAACACAGTATACATATCCCCATCATTATTCGTAGCATTCAGCACATACTGATAGTAGTACCCCCCGCCATCAATTTGCAGCCAACCGGACCGCTCAAACGACCACGCAATCATATCCAAGCCATGCTCCTGACACGCCAGAGCATACTCTGATGGCACGATCTTGCCCTTGTCATCGAGCTTAGTGAGAGCGAACATGGCAGGCGCCATGATCTTGACGCCGCGGGCAGCGAGGTCAGGGATGTTAGCTGTAGCGTTTGCGTAGCCAGCAGGGGTATCGACGCGTTCGTCGAGGTAGACGGCTTGGTTGCCGAACTCTGGTTCGTTGTCGATCCAGTAGAAGATGTCGTCTGGCAAGAAAGATTGCAGCCAGACGCGGGAGGGATCGATGTCGTACTCGCGGAATTTGTCGACGAGGTCCTGGGCGTATTGCTCTTGGGTGTAGCCGTCAAACGGCATCGGTACCTCAGGGGTCTTAAGTTCAGGTGTGTATTTCAGGCCCCAGCTATCTACGAGGGGGATGTACTCATCGACGGTCATGAGTTTGGGGCAATGTTGGGCGTAGAGGTCTGTTCGGAAGTATTGGGTTCCGTCCATGTATTGTTTGGCGGTTGTGGCGTTGGGGTTGAAGCCGTCCATTTTTCCGCAGAGAGTGCCAAACTCCTCGAGTGTAATGTCTGAAGTGCAGCACTTGGCCGATGCAGCGGTGCCATTGGCAGCGGGAGAAAAGGGCTTGGTGCACTTTGCAGCGAGGGGGGTGTCGAGGATGTTGGTGGTCGTGTGCAAGTCGCATTGGGCGTGGCGGCAGACGAGCTGCTTGTCCTTTGTGAATGCAACATCGCATTCAATGATACCAGCGCCCATACGATGCGCCGCTTTGTAGCTCGCGAGGGTATGCTCGGGGAATTGGAGCGGCGCTCCACGATGCGCCAGGACAAAGTCTGACGTCTCGAATTCTTGCTCCGAGCAGCTCTCCAGCTTCTCCTTCAATGGCCCGTCGTCCATGTCGTCGACGAGGTAGTATGGGCGAGGCCCAACCTGGACATTGAACTTTTTTCCATGGCCATGGCCGTGGCCTCCGGTACGAGGCGCAACTGCAGGTACGGCAGCAGCAGATGCGAGTCCAAGGAGGACAGAGGCGGCGATGAGAGAGCGCATCGTGAGCAATTGTCAAGCCAGCGAGGTCCGGAGAGTTGCAAAAAGGAACGGCCCCTGCAGAACAGACATGACTGCGGCTATGCGGCTTCTTATCTGCATGGGGGGAGAAGCAATCTCTACTCAATGCCTCGGACGGTCCAAAGACGCCGACGAGCTACACGGCTGGGGGACCTCGACGTCAGCTCCATTGCTTCTGCACGTGGGTGAGCTACCCCAGTCAAAGTTCTTGGTGCTGCAGCGGAGAACAGGACGATGGAGTAAAACTACCCCAGCCCGGTTAGCCTGCCGAGCCTGCCAAGCACATGTAGCCGTTCACGTTTTCCAATGCTGCGATAAGATACGTGAACAGGCCCGAGCAAAGTACTCGGAGCAACAATACTGACGGCTGAGAGGTACGCCTCATGCATCATCTCCTCCCCGTCTTGGCCGCATCTTGCTTCTTTCGCCTTGTGGTCCGGTGTGGCGGGAATCCATCGGCCTTTCGGCGGGCCGGCACCATCTTGTGGCTTGCAGAGTGGATACGAATGGAAGGTGGACAGCGGTGCCCGTCTCTATGAGCCACGGCCTTATAGTACGTTGCCAACGGTAGTATTCAACTCGATGTCTCTTTAGATGAAAGCTGTGGGATCCTGTATGCCTGCTTAAGCCCCTTTCATGAAAATGTCAATTCTCTTCAGAGACGTAAAAGGCCTTAGGGCAAGGGGCCAAATATCCGTCCTCGTCAATCCAAGCTGCCGTCTCCGCCTGACCGTCTGTTCATTTCCAAAAGCCATGCAGTCTAAAGATGCATAAATCCCATATCTGAGACCGCCGGTTTACGGTACGCTATCCTCACTCCGTTCTGGCAGCTGGAAGACGCATCTCGACTTCCCAACATCAAGATCCGTAGAACACCTCCAATCTGGAAGCGTCACAGTAAAGTCTCTTGGTGCAGTCATGGTCGTGATAGGTTTAAGAAGTGCTTTTCCGTTCTGTTCCCAAAAGTCTCCGTAGCATTGGAGCCAGAGGTCTAGAAAGAAGAAGAGCCGTATGTGCAGTGTCCGGAGACCACTCATCCTACCCAGCACATCCCACGTCCTGTCCCACTCATCTCGATGTACTTGAGGCATGAGGTCGGCTTGAAAGAAACCATGGCGATCGAGGTCCCAGTCGATGCGGAGATTGGTGATTTGATTCATCCGTTGGGGTTGGATGAAAAATGGCAAGTAGCCCATTGTAGGGTAGTCCTCTACATCTGTAGAGATGAAGAATTTGTTGGAATTGTAAAGGTATTCGACGGCTTCTGAGTAGCTGATCATTCATCAATTAGCTATGATACTACGCCGTTGACGTAATCAACGTGTCCTCGTATCGGTTTCGCCCTACAGCCTTTTGGCAGGGTCGTCGTGCAAAATGTCTACACTCTCTGTACTGAAATATCACGTGGGTAATACTTACATACGGCGACACGTCCTCAACAACGGAAGTGCAATGTGGAGTTTGTGTTTATTCGAAAGGGGCTGGAGGTAGCAGGCACAACCTCGAATAGCACATCGCCGGGCATTTAACTGGCCATTGACAAGTGAAAGATGTATTGGCACCTCGCCCAGTGCTTTTTCATAGATCATTCGCCTTATCTCCAAGGGAAGTTTGGTCATAAAGGCGGATCGATTTTGTGGAAACGTTCTTTGGTATTGCTGTAAGCCTGTCGACGTGATACTCAGAGCGCGTCTGCGGGGGCACGGCACCATGGGTTTTGGGGCCTCGGCGGATACTCCGAACGTTCGTCTACTCTGGTTAGGCATTACCAGTACAATGCAACAAACACAGGGCGAGCAGACTGTCCAAAAGAGACATTTGCACGTGTACCAAGCTGCTTTTCGTATAAAATGGTCAGTCCTAGTCCCAATGTTCTTGAGGCGGTTGCGAAAACGGGCTCCGGGCATGTTTGCGCCACAGGGGCATGAAGCTTTGTTGGTTCAGCCGAGTACCGCGAAGAGTTGCGGTTCGGGGCAAGCTTGAATGGTGCGAACACCCTCTTTACGGCTTGAAAATGACCGGACGCTCGGTATTCAGGGTGTATTCCCGATTCTCTGGGGTGAGATTGGATTCGACTCTTTGTTTGCGTGGAGGAGATGAGGAAAGAACAGTTGGTGTTGGAAACCATGTTGTGGCGCAATTCCGGCCCCACTTTGTGAGACCAACATGACGACGGCTCCCAAACTTGAGATTACTACCCAATACTCACACTTCATTCGTTACCTGCGCCTTCAGCTCGCACTCAACAACCGGACATATTTCAGCTTTGATTAGTCGTGACTATTTTTACCACTTCGTCCTGCGGACATTGTACCGCGTTTCGTCTGATACTGGTTGGTGGCGAAGGCGTTTCTCATCCAAAAGAAAACATACGGAAGCTGCCGCCGGCAAAAGAATAGACGGGCGATACGACGGGTTGCGGTCATTGAATATGATGCATCGTATTATACAATTATGTATCTTCTTCTCAACAGGAAAATGTGTAGCCCCACTACTACAACATGTCTTTATTCTTGTTAGGTGCTTTGGTTGCAGTTGACTACTATAGCATATTTACATTATCTCGCCCTAGCCAACATGATGTGTTAATCAAATCCATTTATTCTTAATCTCAGCCCAAACCCGGCTTTATTTTCTGGCCGGGGTCCTTGATGCAGTTGCCGATGCGGAGCACCTTGCTGCCATTGGGGTAATGTTTAGTACGCTTGCCAAAGCTAGAGTAGTCGAAGTATTGGAGACGGAAATTGTTTATGGCTGGGAAATGTATCTTGGAGATTCCGTTATTCTTAACGGGAGAGAAAGAGGCTTGCTATAGAGTGTAGCGGAGGTGCGGATGAGGTGCGGTAAACCCTTGTATCTACTCGATAGATTATGATGGGGTGCAGCAGTCGTCTTCGATCCCCATACATACATAAATATCACGCTTCATTCTGCTGTGATGAAAAGTACCAAAAGCCCTCTTTTGATGTCCTGATGAGCCAAGCCCACTAATAGGATTTGAGTGATACAAATAGGAATTTTGGCTCTGGCGTAAGTTAACAGCAGGTATACAGCGTAGGGGTTATTAAATCAGTATTTCCTACACACCTGTAGGTCATCTCGATCATTCGGAGATGATCCAGAAAAAAGAGTGTCCATTGGATGATTATGTGGCCGTGAGCATCAACCGTACATATTCAGGAACGACGTTCATATTATATAAAGCAATGGAACATCACATTGTCAGTGTCTCCAAAATAATCTATCAATACTCTATATATTACTACAGACTAGCGTGGGATTGAGAATCAGCTTCTTATTTCGAAAACCCGTCGAGTTTATTTCTGCTATCTTGGTACGTGTGAGTTACCATTCGTCTTATCGTCATCCATAATTGTGACAATTCCCTCGTAGTCAGGAAATGTGTCCATTGTTTCTTATTGCTGTGCGCACAAAAAAACTAATTCAGCGCTTGTATAATACCCAGATACGAAACAACAGTTCAAGTGGCCCCAAATGAAGAGCAAGCAGAGAAATAAGCACCTGAACAAGCATATTCGGCGTCCCATTTTCAACGGAGACTCGATAAAATATGACATATCTTCTTTGAATCATCCATCTGCAGGCGCCTCAATCGCTGTAGTCCAATGCTCCTTCACCGCACTCACAGAATGCATATATAGCATCCCCAGCTCCGACAGCGAAAACATGCAGCGTAGCTCTTCATGTCGTCCACATATGTATGCCAGAATCAAAAGCGTCTTCAATTGCCTTCTTCGTTGCCCCTTCAGCCAATAGTAAATGCACTTGCGGTAGTGTCCTTGGAAGGCAGACTCCTGATTTGGCGGCCTTGATGATCCGACGACGGAAGTTTGTTTCTTGACTTATCGTGTCTCAAGCCATGCCTTTGCCGATGTCAGTCTGAGTGCACCAGTTTTTTAGACGGCATGGCTTGGGTGCGCTAGACTGTTTGGATGTCGTCGCACATGTTTCGGGGTAGAGCAGGTTATATAGGGTCGTACATAGAGTATGACTGTGCCATCGACTGTGCCGTCCTCTATCATGACCTGAAACGTCCCTTGATGAAACGCTTTTTAGTAGACATTAGACACGAAGGTTTTCAAACCCGCTACAACGTAGATCAAAATCGTGCCGAGTACCGTATTGGCCACCCTAGTCTCATATCATCTGCCAGCAAATAGCCACCAAGGGGACCGAAAGCCCTTTGTCGCAGCTGCGTGATACCGGGGACCTGGTGTAAGAACAGGCCATATTCGGAATTGAGTTCGGCGGCCTCTGGTACCTTTACCGTCCGCTTCCAACCAGCATTCTGGAGATCTGCTAGGTCTATACACTAAACTTGAACAGCTTTTATCCACTTCTCCAGGGGACTGCGGTGTCTTTATATTCGATAGAGTATGCGAGAATTTGGTTCTTGCGATATAGACTCATTCCAATGTGCTGGATATACAACTGGTATAAGCCGTTTAATTTTGCAGAGTTCCTGTTATATACGGGCAACAGATGTTTGACGGAGGAAGCATATAGACGTGGGATGAGGACTTTAGATGAATATTGTGTATTGAGAACCCTGTTGTATAAGTATTACTCGATATTGTTCCAGAACGTCCCACGCAGACTCAAACTCAGGAACAATCAACATAAATTGGAAACAACAAAGGTTGTTTCGGCTGCCAGTATCAAACAATAGACTCCAGGTGACTATTCGCGAGGGCTAGATTGGTTTGATCACTGGTAGTCTGAATATGTGTGCTACAAACATGTTTGGGGATCAGTACCATGATTACAACAAGTTAGAGATTTCCACAGCGTTCTCGTTACTAGAAGACTTTTACGATCTTGACCAAAACAACGTCTTCATAATTCCGCGCGCATCACTCCAGTGAATATTGCAAGCAACCGTGGCCGCGTAGGGAGTAGGGCAATCACCAAACTTGCTTGAAATTGAACAATCAGTCTTGAGCAATCTAAAATACTCATATCACTATGGCGATCAAAATATGACCAAAAATAGTTACAGTTGATGTTCAGAATGCTCATGACCAGAGAGTGCTCGGCCTAATGCGGTTAGACCCCGGAGGCTTAATCATCATCGAATCTTCGCAAGTCGAACTCCACCAACACTCCGGGACGCCAATTGCCAACAAACAGCCATGCCACCACGGGTGCGAGCTGTCCGACTCGCCTCGTCACTCATATCGTCACCCTCGCGGTTATGTGCGACACCGCTAGCCAACGCCTTCGTGCTGCCCGCCCAGCAGCGCTGCGCCTCGATTCTTTCTTCGCTGTCCGACAACACCGGGGCCTACAATAAAAAGATCCGCCGAGGTCGGGGTCCTGCCTCGGGAAAAGGAAAGACGGCAGGACGAGGTCAAAAGGGACAACACGCTCATGGCAAAGTGCCCGCTGGATTCGAGGGAGGTCAGACACCACAATGGATCACAAATCCCGAGCGAGGGCGGGGGAAACACAATCCGTTCAAGGTAGAGATGTCACCAATCAATCTGGACCGGATACAAAGCTGGATTGACCAGGGACGGTTGGACCCAAAGAAGCCCATTACTATGAAGGAATTGGCAAAGTCACGGTGTTTGCATGGCGTAAAGAGACACGGCGTGAAGCTGTTGGCAAGGGTATGAAAGATCGGGAAGAAGGGGGGGCATGTGGTGCACAATGCTAATTGAACTCGTTTAGAATCCCGAGCAACTCACCACGCCCATCCACATTGTCGTCTCTCGGGCATCGAGCGAAGCCATTGAGCGCATCGAAGCCCTCGGCGGCAGCGTAACTACCCGCTTCTACTCGCCCACAGCCATCAAGCGCGTGCTACGCGGGGAATCACACCCAACTATCTCGCTGCAAGCCTCGCCCTCGCTCGTTGCGCTGACCAGCCGCTCCTCCGCCGTCAAAATCCCGTCTCCTATTCTCTCCGCGCTGCAAACCGCCGCTGAGGAAAAGAAGTCCGAAGCCATGGCCGCAGTCATGAAGCAGGTTGGCGCAAAATACAAGTACAGGTTGCCTGACGCTACGGCGAGAAAGGATATCGAGTACTACCGTGACCCAGCGCATAGAGGGTACCTGAATTACACGCTCAAGCAGGGCGAGAGCCCCAGTTTGTTCTTCAAGCCACCAGGTGAGGCAAAGGACAGGAAGAAGCAGAGCGCAAGACGCGATGCCGCCAAGGCTAGTGCCGATAATAGGTTATTCTAGTCCAAGGCAGATGTCGTTGCGGGTTGTAGAATATAATGTACATGATATGCACTTGACTTGTATCACGAAA